CAAGGAAAATGCAATTTTTTGGAAAACTTTGGATACATACATTAACTGTAGAAATGACTACCATTTTTTATAAGCCTTATTCAAGTAATGGAAAAACTTTCTGTCTCTCTTCTTACATTGTAACAATTTGCAGGAGAAAAAAAAACTCAATCGAAATCTAACCTATGCTCGTAGCTTCTGCCAATCAAATGTACATAATCTACATAAAACAATTCAATTCCTTGTAAATATTAGCGTTAACCGTTAAGTTTTAAAATCCATTAACTAGTAACAAGGGCTTTAGCTCACATACCGAACTCAAAAAAAAAAAAAATCTCTGTGAACTACCTACTCGCCAAAGGAAAACTCTCACAAATTTCCTCTTGTTTTAGCCACAATCAAAATCTTGTTCTCTCTCTCTAGTCAAGGAGCGTAGAAGCAATGACGAGCTGCAGGATGCTCGTAAGGAGACAATCAATGTACGAACTAATTCTCCCCTTGTTTCGTTTCGTTTCGTTTTGATTTCTCTGTGAACTAACTACTCGACAAAGGAAAACTCTCACAAGAGGGAGAGGACTGAGGAGAAATCAAATTTCCAATCCAAACAAACACTAAAAAAAAAAAAAAAGAGATGCGAAAGAAGTGAGAGAGAGAGAAAGAGAGAGAGGTTTCGTTAGTTACCTCCGGCTCCGACAGTCCGACTCCGAGACGAAGGCCTGAGGGGAGTTGTGGGACTGAATGCCTGATGGGAGAGGGGCGGCGCCGGCCGAGACACGAGGGAACACAGGGCCGCCGAGAGAGGGAAGAGACAAGAAAGACTGAGAGAAATGAGATGCGGTCTGAGTCTCACTCTGTTTGCTTGCCTTTTGCCTGCCCGCCTAATCTAATGCAGTAGTGAATGGGCCGAACTACCGAAGGCCTGCTGGGCTGAGGGCCTGAGGCCTGAGTGAGAAAAAGAATTAGAATTTTAGAAATGTTGGGCGGCTTGAGTGAGAGTGAGGCAGTGAGCGTGGGCTGGAAGTAAAATTAATGGGCCAAATTAATCCTGGGCCTATTTTGTGCGGGTTGGGTTGGGGGCTGCGGGTTACTATGGGCCCAACCCACAATCCGCCCCAAACACTCGGGTTGGAGGTATAATAGCCCGAAAAATAAAAAATAATGTTGCGGGTTGCTTTTTTCGGGGTGGATTGGGGCGGTGCGGGGTGGGTTTGCGGGTTGTGCGGGTTTATGAACACCCCTAATTGGGTTCATATATCTCTTTTTCTTAATTTCCTTTTGTATCTCTCAATAGTAATAGTACACGTCATAATTTTTTAATTGACTTAATAAAAATCTTTAATTAATGTGATAAATTTTTTAATTAATTTAACATTTAATTATTAAAAGAACATAAAAAGATATATAAATAAAGACACACAAGAATTGATTCTCGTCCGTCCATCTAACTTGTGGATGGGATTTGACCAATGACAAAAGTTGCACTATAAATTATTTAATTAGGTGTAGTTTTATACACACATCTCTTTTTATTTTGTGACATACAGACATCTTAATTTGTGACTAACACATACTATTTGCACTATAAATTGGCTTTTCTTCGTGTGACTAACACATACTATTTGCACTATAAATTTGTGACATACTGACATCTTATTTTTTTCCATTAGTTTTCTTTAAATTATTTAATTAGGTGTAGTTGTTTTATACACACATCTCTTTTTATTTTCTACACCCTATTAAATTAAAATTTCTTATTACGAAAAGATACTCACATAAAATAACAAACGGATCTTTCAAAAAATAAAATAAAATAACAAACGGAAATAAGATTAAATAGTATATTTGTGAAACTAAATTAAGTAAGTATCAGATTTTAAAATTATTTAAAGTA